ATTGAGTCAGATGCAATTATTTTTGAGGATTTTGACAATTGAGTCAACAGCAAAATAATTTACACCACATGTATAATGATTTCCATGTAATTTTAATATGGTACAATTCTTGCCATTGTTGTTTCCATTGGTATTGTCCATGTTTCTTTTAGATTTATTAGTAATGTTGAAAATGTAACTCTTGCTGACTTGAGGTTGTTATTGCCATTCTCCATCTGTATATATGAGATTATTCCGTATTTGGCTATGGCACCTTTGAGTCTCTTGGTTGAAAAGTCAGAAGGTATGTCCATTATAATAACCTTTTCCATGCCCATTGTGATGTCTGGGGGTTTTTGTCTTCGGAGGAGGTCATATTGCTTGATTCTTCTTCATATAAGGTTTGGATTATTATCTGAGGTTGGTGGATTAGGAGTTTTTTCTTGCATTCCAACATGTTGTTGGATTTTTGGAAGTGTAGAACTGTCCATTTGCTTTTTCCTATGGCTCTGACTTGAATTTCTTTGTGGAATAAGGGAACTTTAAGAAATCCGGTAATATTTTGTAGTTGCTTTACTCTGTTTTTGCCAAGAATAATACCATATTTGATTCTTAGTTGATATGGATTGTTATGTTCTAACAGATTGAAGCTTGATTAGGCACCTTTTCATATCTTCTTCAAATTGAAATTGAACAACATATCATCTATTTCCATTTATAAAGGGTGTTTGTATAAGTTCATACTTATCCTTGAATAGTCAGAGAAGATTGGCAATATATTTGATTTGCTCCTCTTTGGAGTCTCCTGATGTGTTGGCTGCAAGTGCTCCTATTTTAAAACCACCTGATTTGCTGACGAAGAAAGAATTGGTAGGTATGTATTGCCTATTTCTTGTGTGATAGCTTTGGACAAATGTTATACAGCTTCCTAGTGGTATATAGGTTGATGTTTTTTCTTCCTTTTTCTCAGATTCTGATATTATCTTCATTTCTAGGTAATTAGGAACTTCTTCTTTTGTTAATATAGACTTATCCTTGGGATCCTCTTCTATTTGTGAGGCTTTGTTTTGTATTGTTATAGCCATAGTGTTGTTGGATCCTATATGTCTTTGTAGCTGATGTGTGTGGTCTTCAACATATTATTCTTCTTGTTGGCTTGAGGGTCCTGTCAGTTTGATAATATTCAATATTTGCTAAATTTGCTGTAGATCCTCTATTATATATTTGTTCAGTATTTTAGCTTCGAGGTTGTTATATTCCCAAATTTGTTCTATGTATTTTTTGATGAGTATCTATTTTACTGCTATTGAAGCATTGATATTAAGTAGTTTTGCTGCTACTGTGTCTAAGACTGTAATATTTATTATTGTCCCAAGTTCTAAGAGTTCTGAGGAGGAGTTATTATAGCTGTCTTCGAGGAATGATTTAATCCATTGTTGATTATGAGTATCATGATTGTCTTTCAATGTTCTTAAGTACTCGATGATCTGATTTTTTATTGGTTGTTGGATATTCGTTTCTGATTGGATATCAGACATGTGTTGTTATTATTGTTCCATGGATTCTATATGTTATATGACTGGATGTTGACACGTTTTACTTATACTTTGATTAGAAGGAATTGAGAAGACACGTGTCTATTTCCAGTTTAGGTATTGTTTGTTTATTTATTTATTGTTGTTTTTTAGGTGTGGAATATAACTAAACCTTAATTTTGAATTCTATAAACAAATGTGTTTGTTTTCCTATTTTGAGTGTAGAAAAATGTGCACGCGTGTTTGTGTTACTGCTGATCTTTTGGTGGGGATAAACTGGTTTTGGTTTTTCAGTTTCAATATAGATCAATCTGCATAATGATTGTTGTTTATATTGTAAAATTCTTTGGATCTTTTGTTTTTTTTCTAATCACAGTGTTGAGAAAGTCTTGATATCCTTTTGGTTTTGTGTCATTAACGAGATTGCCTGGTTTACCAGGTAGGATCTGGCTGATACAAGGCCCTACTAGTATTTAGAGAGATATCTAACCTGGTGCATAACTGGCTGATAACTTGGAAAGTGTGGTGCTAACTTTCTCTTTAATTTTATTGTGAATTGCTTTTCCTTGTTTTTCCTTCTTTTCCAGTAAGAAAAAACAAGTATGTATCTATCTGTATTGAAATAAAAGAAAGAGTTAGTATTCTTTTAAGTTTAATTATACCTGTTTACTGTATCTTGCTTTGGTTTTGAAAGAAATCAGTAGAGTATTTCTTCTTGATAAAATTTTTTTTTGAGTGTTTCCTTTAATGTTTCTTGGAGTTTTTTGTGTTTTTACCAAAAAAGGAAATTTTTAAGAATTTTGAGATTTGCAGAAAAGAGTTTTTTTTTTTGTATATTGTTATATTGTTTTATTATTCTATATATTGTATATTTATATTATTATATAAATTTTTCATTTTATTTATATAGATTATAAAATGTTTACCTAATCTATTATTACATTCTGAAGTCTTTTTACAAATACATAATCTAATGTTTTAGCCTATAATATTATATTCTTTTATAAATACTTTATATTATATTATATTCTTTTATAAATACTTTATATTATATCTTATTTTATATATTAAAGTATTATTTTTTTTATATTAATATTATTAATTTTTTATATTAATACTAGTATTCAGATATACAGTATTTTATAATATATTCAGATTTGAATTTTTACAGATTTACAAAAAAAATAATTATAAAAGATTTATTATAATAGTAATAAAATAGTATTTCTCTAATTTATATTATTTCCTGCTATAACTGTATTTATTAATTATAGTTTATTATAACTTTGAAATTTCTTTTTTAAAATAATATTATTAGCAGATTTGTTATTATTAGTATTTTAAATCTAATTAAAACTTTGTATAAAATATTTAAATTAATAATATTAAATACTTTATCTATATTCTAAAAAAGAATTCAGAATTTTTTTTTTGTTTTTTTTGTTTCTTTACAAATGTTTTTAAAAAGTTATATTGGATTTTATATATTTTTTTCTAAATATTTTGTGAAATTCAATTCTCTATAAATATTTTTCTTTTTAAGTATTAATAATAATCTGTTTATCAAAAAAAAAAAAAACTCTTTTCTGATTATCCAGATTCACCTAAAATCTGCAGTAACCAGCCAGGAGTTTGCCCAAAGGCCCCACCTGCCATGGCAACATACAGCAGCAGCATCTCCAAGAGCAAGGGACCACTTACCTCCACTTAGCAACAGCCCCCAGTGGTCAAAAACCAATAAAAACAAAAGTAAAAACAGCAGCTAACAGCACCTGAAGCAGGCAGCAGCCAGTCACCCAGCTGAATAGTTACCATAGAGAAGGGGATAAATGCCTTCTTTGACTGGACAGCAGACACCTGGATGGACACAGAGGAACCCCAGCGGGCACTCACTCCATCCACCTTTGATGACTTTGATGAGGACCCAATACTAACAGATCCAGAGAGTGAGGCAGAGGATGCCCACCCACCTAGAACCAACTACCCAAGCCAGCCAGATACCCCTATGGGCCACCCACAGACTGGCGCACCCAATACGGCTATTCCCGATTCAAAATGGCCATTCAGGTGGAAGACCTGACTGGCACCATGGAGGAAAAACTCAACTCAGTCAAAGAAACAGTCTCTCAACTTGACTCCTATATAGGAGCCCGTATGGCACAGCAACAGGGGCAAAATTGATTGTCATATATTTTACCAATCAAAAGGATGCATAAAAAGCATGCAAATTGTTAATCCAAAAAAATAATGACCACCATATGGCCATACTGGCCGATCTTGACCTAACAGAAGTCAAAAACAGATCAATTCATGTCTGGGATATCCCCCTAAACATCAATAAACAAAAAATTAAGCAAAAACTTACCCAATTTGGATAAATCAAAAGATTTAGAATAAATACTGCAGATATGTGGCAAAGTGCACTAGTTGAGTTTGCAGAACAAGAAAATTACAACAAAATCAGTATAAGATGGAGCATTCCATTTAAAAGAGAGCTTCTGAGAATCTATCCTTTTTTAAAAATATTTGAGATCAAACAAATATGGGACAAACACACTCTGAGACTCACAAATCTCCCTCCTGGAACCACAGGTTATGACTTATATGACATTATCAGTACCACCAAAGCAGCATCCTGCCATATTCCTAGAAATCGGAACTACACAAAAAAACACTTCGCTTTTCTAAATTTCATCCCAGCAGAAGCAAAAGCACAAACCAAAAATCAAAAGGTATACCTGGGAGAAACACCTCTCAACTGGCATGAAGTAGAAGAGAAACTTTGTACAATTTGCAGTGCAGCAGACCATCTAGCAGCACAATGTACAATCAAAGCTAAACATTAGAAAAAACAACAAATGCTTAAAGATAAAGTGAAAAGATATAGCTCTCTGTACCAGAAATTTAAACCAGAGAAAACAGCACAAATCAATAAGCTTTTCACCAAGCAAACAAATAAATCAAGTGGCCAAGACAGGCATAGAGCATGGGAACAATTCAACAAAGCATCAGGGAGATTTGCTAGCAAAAGTACATTCATCCAAATAATCAAACAAGCCTCTAACAGGCCTTTCAACCTAATAGCGAATAATCCAGCAGCAATAATAAACCTACAATCTTCACTCACAGAAGTTCTCAAAGCAATGCAAACAATAGGAGCAGAGCTGAAGCAGATAAAGGAATCAATCAATGATCTCAACACCAAAGTTGACAATCTTGAAGACTTTGCTTATTATTATTCTATAAACAATAAGGAACAAATGAAAGAATCCATCATGGCAGGAAAAGATTACCTCAAGCAAAATACAACTTGTCTGACAATCCAGAGCCAAAAGACTTCAATTATCAATGGAAGAGACAAGCAACAAGTCTAGCAGTGGATATACTAAACATTAGAAAACAACAGATCAACTTGAACTCTAGAATGGCAAGCATTGATGATACATTTCAAAGCATCGTTGGCATGCTAAATCAACTGATAGATAATACAACAATCACTTCTTACCAATTAGATACCAATAAATATTAAAGGGAAAAAAAAAGCACTATACAATAATATACCATTCCTCCCAATAAAACAGACAAGAACAACACATATCAATATACAACCATCTCTTGAGACAACTATCAAATGGAAACTATTAATATACAATGTAAGAGGAATCAACAATCTGATTAAAAGACAAACAATATTCACATACTGTGCCACAAGAGACATCGACATAGCAGACTTACAGAGACACAAATACAAAATGAAAACTGCAAATATTGGAAACACCCAAACTACGATATTATTTGGAGCAACAATAACAAAGGAGCGGGAATAGCAGTAATGATTAAAAAAAAATTAAGCAAACACATATGCAAGATAAAAAATACTTGGGGAGAGGAATAAGCATAGACCTCCAGTTCAAGGGAAAGAAACACATTGGTATTATAGGAATCTACATATCAGCATCAGATGGATAAGAAAAGAAAGAAGTCAACAAGTGAATAGAAGAAGAAATTCTTAACAGACATGGAAAAAACTGGAACACAATAATACTGGGTGACTTTATCAACTCAGTGATGAATCCACAAATCAATCATAGATCTGCTTTGAATAAAAAACAAAGGTTATAGCTTCCCACCTTCACAGCATTACGAATTCTAGAAAACCTAAACTATACAGACTGCTATAGGACACTCAATCCCAACAACCCAGGATACATCTGGAAAAACTTCAGAAAAACAATGTCAAGACTAGACTATATCTGGATCTCAGATCACAAAGACTGATATCCAACAAAAACAAAAATAAGTGCAGCAGTAATGGTATCAAATAGTGACCATGCCATAATTCAAACTAGCATCTTACTCTCCAACCTTAATATGCTCCCAAAAAATCCTGCAGAAAAACAAACAGAAACCAGACACACCACAATAGGAACAATTCCAGAGAATTGAAAGAAGTTTCATGAAGAAATCTACTATATCCTTTAACAACAAAAAACACATATAGATCTAAAGACCTCTTCATCTAACAAGCTCTGGAACCTAACATGGGATGC